ATTCTTCAAGAAAATAAACCGTCAGAATCCTTTATACGTAGCCAGAGTCATTAAAGATCAGAATATTATTACAGCACACAAAAACAACAAAAATATCCAACACCACTGCAAGCTCAGTATATATACAGTAAATCTATGCTCAGAGCCAAACAAACGTACCTAACAAAACAAATAGCTTGCTACATATTTATTTATCTATGAAAACAAATGATTTGATTGACGTTTGAGTTTTTGAACTACGTTGACATTTCCGCTTTGTGGCCTGTATAAAAAACATAAAAAAACATTGATAATCGATTGTGAAATCGATTATTAATCTAGTCAATTTATTTTTACGACTTTTTTGAAACATTGAAGTGTCTCACGAGGAAACCATTATTTAAGTAATAAGTTTCTTAAACTTATCTAAAGAAAAAACACTGAATCACTTTTTATTGCCTTTTTTCTATTTTTGTATTAAAATCGATTAACTTACCTATTTCATCTGGCAGCATTGTTTAAAAATGAAAATAACGGAAGTCAGTATTATTTTTATTAAATATTTAATTTCTTTTGCCATGATAAAACTGCTTAAGGCCGAATACGAAGAGAACTGGCGAAAATTAATGTATTTCTCTTGACTAGAACTTTGACCTGAAGTAATTCTAAGCTTTAAAACATTTTTGTAGGTTTGTTCGGGTCTTTCACAAGGTCACCGTCATTTTAAAATTTTAAAATAAATGAATATACCAACAAATAAAAAAATGTTGAGAAATTATATATAAAATTATTGTTCTTCCAAAACTCTGTGAATTTTAATTTAGGAAAAATTCTTTTACGTAAAAATGTTTGTATTGTGATTCCGAAGGTACCTGCTATCTTTATTTTCGATACAAAATATTATTTATTAACATAATTCGTTTTAATTAAAAACACCTAATAATAATATCGTATATTGCCAGATAAAAGTTTGCCGTAATAAATTACCAGGCGCTTCGACGTGTGACGTAAGGTAACAACAGTCGATGTGGCTGTAGCGAAAATCGTTAATTTATTGTTTTATACGCGTTTAAGTGTCTATAAATGTAAATATGGGTAGAAAAAGTAATAAATGTTACCTAAGTGGTAAAACAAAGAGAGTTTATCGCATGAACGCTGCTCGAATGTTGTATTTTGAGGTTAATACTTATATTTTTGTAAGGTAATTTTTTGTTTGAGGCTGCCTAATAGGTTGCATTTTTACTCATTTACATTAGCCAAACTGAACATTTGTCAACACACAAACAACACAACATCAAGTGAGAAACACTAAAAATGTAAAATATCAAGACCCAGTCGGAAAAGAATGTGCAGAGTAGTGCAAGCACGGAGACCGCAAATAATGTCAGTCAATGTATTGTCCGAAAGCATGGGGTAAAAGTACATAATTAAGAAAAAGCGAAATACTTCGGATGTGAAGTGATTGACCAGTCGGAGTAGTCTTGTGAGAATTTACATACACAGTACCTATCCCCACTATGGGGCAATCACCGACTTTTTAGTTTTTTTTTTCTTTATTATTTATGCAATTTGAATTACGGCATCTTGTAAGACTCACAAGACATTTTCAGTTATATGAGGTTCTTTACGTACGATGCACCAATTAAGAAAAAAATCGTTATCAATTCAATAACTTTTCGAACAATATTTTATAACGAATAAAGTACAGAACAGTAAAGTAAGTAAAGTACAGTTATAATCTATAGGAACTAATATCATAAATAAGAAAAATTTATTTAAGAAGTAAGCAATGCTCTCTGTGTTGTTCATTACTCTGCATCTGAGCTAGCTCGGTGAAATATAATCAAAGCCCGTACGGCTTTGATTATAGGTATTATACATGTCTATATAAACAAAGCGTAGGTACGGGCGGCGCGTGGTTTGCTGCGAAACGAGCAAGGTCATTCGCGTCGTATTCGGCCTTAATATTTAATTATTAACTACAAAAAAAAAACTGTAAAAAAAATTTTGATAAATATTTCACTTGTGTAACGTTAGACCCAAATTCGCCCGTCTCCTTTTATAACTGTACCTCTTAAATCGGCAGTAACAACAAATACGAAGAAACTGGTAAATCTTGGGTTTTAAATTATCCGTTTTTAATTTATTCTGGTATTATCAAAACCTAATTGTAAATGATTACCAACTCTAAATAATTGATATCAATTTTTTTAAGAATCGAATATTGTACGTACTCATTTTTTGGTTGGCATGTCTGGTGCAATAAGTCTGACAGCTGTCAAAAGTTATTTCTTAGATTTGGTTGACTATAGTTTCCTTACCTTATGTTCACTAAAAGCAATTAGATATAAAAGTTGTGTTTGTTCCAGTAAATGCAGCACGTCGCTTGGAGAAGTTGAGGAGTAACATAAATAAAAAACATACATCACTTTCATACAAAAATAATTCAGAATTTATTAATACTTTTACTTCTAAAACATTTTCATTGTTCAGTTGGAAGGCATTCAATGAATGGGCAACAGTAGGAGTCCATAAGTGCAGACAAAGGTTTTATGAACTTTACCATGAAAGGTCATATAATACAAACTACTAATTTAGGGAATATGTAAAAAATATTCAAAAATATTTAAAAGAGTGTGCTCCACAGCCAAATTTTGCATTTAAGCAACAAATTAAGACGGCTTCTGATGAAATTAAAATGACATAGAGTATAGTTAATAGTTAAACTAGTAAGGTCAACTCAACACAACAATCAGTTAAGTTATAATTACAAATTAACTGAATCAAATCAGGATACTGCAGTAGTTTTTGAAAAATATTTTACTGACATTCCGATTTTAACCACTGTCATTGAATTTTTCTCCTACCGTCGCCGAATCACTACTTAAATAAAATGTAAATTCGTGTACAGAGAGTTTTTCATTTCATGAAGTATCGTCAAAAGATATTGTGAAATATTTTAAAACTATTGATGTTAATAAAACTTCAGATCTGTGGGGGTTTCCGTTAAAATTATTGCGTCTATAATAGATACAATCGCACCTCAACTAGCTATTTTTTATGCTAGTATCGAATCTGATTTTTCCTGAAGTAATACCTTTATTTAAATCTGGTAGTACATTGGATCCCGCCACCTTAGACCTATTACTGTACTGCCAACACTTTGTAAAATTTTTGAATAAAAATGTTTCTTTATCAAATGTTAATTAATCAATAATTTATTTTAAATCATTACTATTCTTATTTTAATAAATACGTTGTTTTATTTAATTTTTTTTCATTTTTATCACTAACCCACATAATGCCAAAACTAAATACACTATCGATAATGCTTATCGACAACAATAATGCGCATCACTATGCTCGCCCTTAAGGCCCATGAGTGGGAGAGAGAGCGAAATACTTCGATGATTTAGACCCAAACTGCACCTAGGGCAAAGTCAACGTTATGTCAATCAGTATTGTGGCCATAATGGCATGAATTTATTATTGTGACATCTAGCATCACGTAGTAAATAATCGATTATCATCATAACTAGTAATATCGGTTCTTCAAGGCAATTTTTTTCGTGATTTCTGCACTAAGCTCTAGGCTGGTATCGTAGGAACCAAGAACACTGACTGACACCGTTTACACCTATAATTACTAAAGAACTCCGATTCATTACCAGGTGTAGATTTGGTGTGGGCGTGCGTGCGTGCTTACTCGCGTGCGTATGCTTGCGTGTGTGTGTTTGGGCGTGTGTGATTGTACGCGTGCGTTAGTAGTGGGTCAGCTATGAGGGGAAAGTTAGTTTTTCGCTACCTGATAATAAGCATGGAGCAACCAGGGTGGACAAAGACCTCGTGTCTGGAAAGAGGCAGCAGAATATGTTGTAGATGCTAGGCAGAAGGAATGGTGAGCGGCATTTGATAAAGTTGCTGTGTGAAGTGGGAATCGGTACTCGAGAGACAGATATATTCTACTACGGATCATTGTTCTATCAAGGTATATTTACTTTAAAGGATTGAAAGTATTTCTTTTGTAAACACCATTCTGTTACTTATTCATATTAAGTTACAGATCAATTTTCTATGCAAGTATGTTTCTTCCAACAAGGCTTGAAACTTTACTATTTTAGCATATCGTCGCTTAATTTCTAACACCGCGGAAGTCAAAAATAGCAACTTTTCAGGAGAGCAAAAAAACCATGCCATATTATATATCGCGATATTAATATATAAATTTTTATGTGAAAATTTATAAAAATAGATCAATTTCAAGATTTTTGTTAAGGTTGTTGTAAAAAAAATTATTATTTTTTTGACATACGCGGTGTTACCACATTAAAATAAAGGTTATGGGGAGACTTAAGACACTGTACACTGAGTTATAAAGACACTGTAAATATTTATAAATCATTTATTTCAATTAAAATTAAAATAACAGGTAGACTTATACCTCTTAAAAATAACAAAACATAATACATTTTCTTCTACAACTTTTTAACCACTCTTCTTAACTTTTCTTTACAAATGATTAACAATTTTACTTAACAGTGCTACTGTTTGTTAACCTGGATAATTATTTGGTATAAAATATCTTACATCAAAATGGAATACTGACAAGTATTACTTAAACATATTATTATATCAAAATAACAAAAATACAATATCAGTCATTATAAAATCTTAATGAAGTAAAGTATCGTAAAAACTATGACAGTCAGGCGGAATAACTGACTTTAGTTCTTGCAGATGTTTCCATTTGGATTCATTTATTTTTGATGATTATTATAAAGCTTAGTCCTTGGGCCCGGTCTTGTCCTATTATTTTTGGCTCTTCTGGGCAAATTTTTATAGTCATCCTGAAAGCTTAACTTGTAGTTAATAATGCCGTTAAGGTTATATTTCAAAACTCTCAAATCTGCGACTGTAGGATCGTTGGCAACTCGGCCAGGCCGGATGGACTCGTACAAAAAATCAGCTTTGTTTGAGTAGTCAAAAAAAAAGTCGTATGATAAAAAGTTTACCATGAAAGGTTATTTCGGCCGAGCTTCCTTGGAAATAGTGGCATACTGGGAAGGTAAGTATATCTCCTTATTTTTAAGCTTGCATTCAATTGCACTGTGGCTGGAGTCACACTCCATTTGGGTATGACCTTTTTCAAGGAATTTCTGTGTTATTACGACATTATATTCCATGGCTAAATCTAAAAGAGCATTCGCTAAAACAACGTTTCTGTTTTGGGATGTACATCCATCAGAACATAGGATAATTGGCAAAGGTTTTTCTGAAAGAGTTTTTCTCAGGCAATCTATGACACATGATGCAAAAACAGAAGCCACCAATCCTGCATTATGCTCGTCAAACCAGTAACAATGGACATCTTTTGTGGCTAAGTTAAACATTGTGAAATTGTGCACACAGAGCTTAGTTTTTTAGTACAATGCACTAGCCTGCAACATCGGACACAAATTTACTGATTGGAGGTCATGCGTAAATACGTGAGCTCCTCCTGCTAATGCTCGGTCCTTGTCTTTCTTTTTCTCCTCTCTAGCTGCTTCGTTTCGATTAATGTGATTGCGATAGATGTCCGCCAATATTAGCTGCTTTTGAACGCACAGCATGTGTCACATTGATCCTTTTTGGTTGGAATAAGCTTAAAATCTTTCTCTTTTAAAAATTTATCAAAAGACCATCGGCTGACGGGTTCTTTATTTTCTGATTTACACTTCTCGCAATAAATTTTGAAAAGATGATTCTTGTTTTCGATGATAGGCTCTAAATATTCTCTAGAAGAGGTAGCTCTACAATAGTGAGAAGGCATCTTTGGCAAAATGTTTAGGAAATCTTTAAGAAAAGCTACCTCATCTTTCTTTGTGGGTCCTTCTAAAACCTTACAAGTCAGTTCGCGTTTCTTTGCCATTCCAAGCTCAGACATCGATAGCCAATACCTAACTGTCCATTCTTTGATACAGAACGTATTCAGAAAAGTATGCTTGCAGACTTGAGCACGTCCATTTGAAGTTTCTAAAAAACGCCTAGGTGATGATGATTTACATTTGACCTACTTTTTTGGGCATACCTGAACATTTGACACAACGTATTGTTTACGCTGTTCCCACGTCATATTACTCCAGTAATCGGAGAAAAGGGTGTTTCTTTCCTCTTCTGGTATTGTATCACATGCACAAAGCTTTGATTTTTTACAAAACTCGGAAGTATATCGAGGCCCAATAATTCGGGCTGGCCTAATAGTGTCTAGTAGTGTAGTAACATATATTCTCCCATTAATGTGGGATAATCACAAAGGCGGAAAAGTCAACAACAACAACAAAAGGCAGCATTGAACCTAAATCACAATATTCAATAATTTTATTTATTTGAGGTTTTTGGGTTTATATGAAAACACGAACTCAAACGTATGTGTTGAAAGTGATTCCGCTTGATTTATTATGTTTTTGTGACCTTGAATTGCATTCTTTCACTACATTTACCCATTTTTTTGTCGCGGATCGTTCAGCTCAACTCTGTCGGCGTCACACTGAACACTTAACTGAAGTTAGCTAGGCATATGGCTGTGGCCATATGTGCCATAGATAAGAGTGTATATACGGAAAATATGTGCAGTGTCAACGCTGTTGTGTACTAATCTAGTGTAATATATAAATCAATGACATGAATATATCGCTCTGCTAATTTGTTTGCACGACCGTGCGCGGTAAATGTCGAGCAATCCCTGGACATGCATCCCGAGACGCGGTAAAACGAAATGATCTCTCCCAGCTCTCGCACATACCGCACAAATTAGAAGACGCACATTAAAACCGTCATCGGCAAGCTTTCGGTACCGCGTATACCGAGCGAAACGAATCCGCACCGCTCCCGCACCGATAAGTCAATAGGAAGCCTTATTTATAATTATACGGATCGATTTTCGATGCAGAAAGAAAATACTTGAAAGTATCTCGAGTCCTGGTTTTTGGCGCTGGTATATGGAAAGTAGACGTACTTGGAAGCCCTGGTACTCGATTTTGCAAGTACGACCCATGTCTAAACCTTAAAAAGTAAAAGAAGAAAAGTTAAGGTTAAGAAAGTTAAAGTGCTTAGACAGCATTACTTTTATTTCTGCTCGCTGGGCCCTCTTGACTACGAGCAACTTTTTTTGATAACCCCACCCCAGACCAGCTTGAAGTAGTATGGATAGGATTGTGTTAGAGCTTTGTAGACCATTTTCATTGTGTCTGTGGTAGCAGTGCGTCGCAAAGCTTTCATTATGTAAATGGTTCTCATAAAACTACCCGACAAATGACTTAGGTGGTTTAGCTTATCGTCAATGATCAGTCCTAGATACCTGATGTTATCACTGTTAATTGTATTACAGCCGTAAGAGGGTAGTTCAGATAGCAAGTGTGAATTACCAAGTTTGACAGCGAAGATGGTTTTCAGGCAGCGAAAGCGAAGAAGGAAAGGAGACATGTAGTGTGGCGCCACTCTTACTTAGCGCTTTCCTTCGGACAATTTCTAATACAGAGACGGTTCTCCTTACCTCTACACTCCATCGCTATGAATTTAGTTTTTTAGTGACATACAAATACAGTGTAATGTTAGAGTTGGCATGGTGCCCTCGACCAATCGGCATTTTTGTTCGCCAAAACGTGAAAGTAGAAATGTACTACTTGAATTTAAATTTAATTGCATATTAAATTCTAAAGATATAATTAGTATTTTTATTTAATAAGTTACATGTATACTATTGTATTTTATCAAACAATATAATTATAAGCACTACTTACTAACTTCATATTAAATGAAGTAATGCAAAGCAAACTGTGTGTGTATATGTATAATTTTATATCTAAACTTATGTTTTACTTACTTTTATATTATATGTACTCTTAAAGTAACAATGAGATGCTTGTACAAATTATTATTTCATTTTCACCACATAATATTTAAGTTAGCCAAAAATGGCTGCTATTTGCAGCATAAATGCATATTTCTTTTTTTTATCCAGAACAAAAAAAAATTACATAATAATGCTTATACCAAATAACAATTTATAAATACATAATAGATATTAGTCAGTTATAGCATAGCCTCATTTCGCTTGCTTAAAAATAAAAAGATGGAACTCTAAAATATCAATTTGTGGGAAATGGCGTTTAAAGTTTAGCACTTCCTCCTTGTCACTTTTGATTAAAAATTAAAAAAAATTGTATTATGCTATTGACTACTTTAGCTATCGCTTTTTATATATTGCACTATAGAGATTTTAATGACAATACCAAATTTTGTTAAAAAAATATACGAGTTAACATTGAGCTATTATGTACTACGTACTAGAGGTGACACTGCATTCAGCTACTCTGTTCCACTCAACTGCGGTGCATACACCGCACTTTAATCAGTCACTCACTCGTAGGCGCTTGTAGAGTTGTCACGTGTTGTGTTGATTTAAAAAAAATCTCTTGATATGCCGTCTTGTGTACTTAGATATTGCACAAATAATTCAAGAAATGTCAGTAAAAACCAAGGAATTACTTTTCAGCGGTTAATAAGATACTTAATCAATAAAAAAAGTATTAAAGATTAATAATAAAACAAATTGTTCCTAAGACGCCATCTCGTATCATGGAATATAGATTATGAAATTAATATGTTCAGATGCGACATTTCTGTGGGTACTTAAGTATAGGACGAATATATTATTATACACATTTTTTTGTAGAAACGTATATAAGTTATTATAATTAGGCTAAATTTTTCATGTTTAAATCTGCTTATTATTCTTTTATTTTATTTTTAGGTTTCCACTTCAAAGTCAAAGTGAAATAAATTCGTCCATTTTTAACTCTCGCGTGCCCAGCATTTATGAACCATTATTTACAGCATTTGTGATTCTAATTAAAATAAATATATTTCTAATTTAAATTTTATGTTAATACGTTTTGTTAAACATACATTTAGTATGTTTTTTTATATTTGACATAGATACCTTTTAAAATATTCAGATAAAAATATCATTAAAATGTAATTGTGATATCAGTTAAGTTAAGTTAAGTTACAGCCTATATACGTCCCACTGCTGGGCTCAGGCCTCCCCTCATTTCTGAGAGAGTTTAGGGCAAGGAAGTGTCCGCCGCGCTGCCCAAATGCGTGTTGACGAACTTCACATGTCTTCGAAATATTTATTTTGTGATATAATATTATGTAATATTATATTAAATAAACAAATATAATATACAAAATAAATGACAAAATTTAAATATTGTTCTCGATATAATTTAGCTATTTAACAATACAATCTACTATTGCCTACGGATCATTCTACCTATGTTTATTCTATGATAAAAAAAAACCAAACGCGCGAACACAGAGTAGCGCACATTTTTTGTTTGAGATAGCTGTTTTAGTACGTAAGTACATATTACTTCAATGCGAGTTAAATAACTTTGAGCCCAAAAAAATCTTCTGACTTAATTCACTTTATGCAAAAAATAAACTAAAAAAAGTGTAGCAAGCTGTAAAACTTCTTTAATGGTTTAGAAAATATTTGACATTAATTCGGTTCATTACTATTCAAAAAGAGAAAGTGAAATGAGATTATTGAACTCACATTTTTAAAGAAAATAAAAACTAAGAATAAACTTGGTTTTTTAAACAAAACAAAATTTATTGAACAATTTGACTTTTATTATTATAAATTTAAACAAAAATCAACCAACAATCAGTCTTGAGTGTGACTACAAAAATAACAAAAAATCATTGAAATAATATGTACTTACCTACTAGAACAGCTATCTCAAACAAAAAATGTGCGCTACTCTGTGTTCGCGCGGTTAATTTTTTTTATCATATAATAAACATAGGTAGAATGATCCGTAGGTAATAGTAGATTGTATTGTTAAATAGGTAAATTATATCGGGAACAATATTTAAATTTTGTCATTTATTTTGTATATTATATTTGCTTATTTAATATAATATTACATAATATTATATCACAATTACATTTTAATGATATTTTTATCGGAATATTTTAAAAGGTGTCTATGTCAAATATAAAAAACATACTAAATGTATTTTTAGCAAAACTTATTAACATAACATTTAAACGCACGCAAACTAAATAAACCTTTATCGCTGCGCGCGAGTGTCCTTATTACTTTGCATCTTTTTCCAATGCTGTTTTTCCGTGGTTACTTAGGGCTGTCTAGAATATATTAAAAACACGTGCAAGTATAATATATAATAATAATATGTATTAATATGTGCTCATTTATCTACGATTTATGCACACTTCAATTTACGGATCAAATCAAAAATTTTGTTGGTAACCAAAGTTTTGATTTCAGTGTTTTGTGTTATTTTAGCTTAAAACATTTTAAGCTAAAATAACATTTTA